ACCGGCCTGGGGCAGCGCGCAGGGCTCTCGCCGGTACAGTCAGTACGCACCAGCACGCACACCTTGCAGCCGCGGGGACGCAGTGTGCAGGCTGAGCACCGTGCCGCGGCCCTCCGAGAGCACCAGCAGTCTCCAGCCTTCCCCGCAATGGCTCCGGGGGGAGGGGGGTCAAAAGGAGAGAGAAGCGTGACTCGGGGAAGTGGTGACGCCGCCATGGGATGATGGGGCCGCTGGCACAGCGCTGGGGTACCAACAGATCCACCCAGCTCCCAGGGAGAAAGCAGGGGGCTCCTGTCGTGGATGGCAGTGCAATGAGCGTGCAGGTCCTCTGCAGCGTAGGGTACAGCAGCGGGAAGGAGAGGGGAACACGTCCCTTCCAACTGTAAACACGGCACCTGGAGTAGCTTAGAGCCTTTTACCCTTCTGGAGCTGTCAGAGACCCGGCGCCAGCGCAAGGCTGGCGGCACGGGCCCCAGCTTTGGCACGCGGGCAGGAGTCACTCCTCATCCCCGGAAAGCAGGAAGCTGTAGAGGAAATTGATGGCACGCTGGCGGTCCTGCTGAGTCTGCTTTGCCATCAGGTTGGGTGGAGGGCGCAGGAGGAGGCTGGAGAACAAGGCGGCTGCAGAGGTAGGCAAAATTAGTTACTGGTCAGGAACGGAGACCTTGAAAGGCGCCAGGAAGGCGTTCTATTTCAGCGAGGGCAGCAGGAGCGGAGCAGAGAAATGACACGCTTACCGATCATGGCGACACTGACGTTGTTGTCTTCTGAGTATTTGAGCAGCTCTCGGAGGAACAACATTAGGTACCGAAACACGCTGCGATGGCAACGAGGCAGCTGAAAAATCACCTGCAAAGAAAAGAGACGGGAAGCCCTCAGAGCTCACATCGCTGCAGCGCGGGCACGCTGTGGCACTCTGGACTCCAGACGGGCAGCCTTCCCCCTTCCTCGAGGCCACTGCGTGGCCGCTGGCGCGAGCCACAGGCCCAGAAAGCAAGCAACAAGCCACCAGCTGTAGCCTAGTGCTGGTGGCACTCATGGGCTTCGGCTCCTGGTAACACTGCCTCTAGGATAACTGCATCACCAGGCAAAAACTACCACTGCCCTGGGGCTGCTTCCCGCTCGTTTCCAGTCGGATCCCAGCCCTCACCCCCCCGACAAGGACGAGGACAAGAAGTTTCCTGATGCCGGTACTGAAAATGTGCCCCAAAACATCTTCCTCTGCCCAAGGATGTGCTCGGCCTTGCTTGCTGCCCCACCAGCTATTTTTAAGAGCCAGTCAGTGCTAGTCCTTAAGGGAAGCACAGGAACTGCAGCTCTGCGCAGGTGCTTAAGCCCTCGAACCCCGTGGAGCTCTTCCACCCCCCGGGGCTGCTATTCCCAGCGCGCTCAGGGTGACGCAGGGCACGTCTTGGGGTCTCTTTGGAAGCCACCAGGACTCCTGGGAGACACCGCAGTGCCAGCCTTGGGGCAGGAAAGCACCGCCAGAGCAGCCAGGTCACCCTGGCCGCTGCAAAGAACCTCCGAGTGGCCTGCTCCCAAAGCCCCTGGCCAGCTCACGGGAAGGGAGCGGGACCCAGCAAGCCCCAGGACCAAGGCAGAGCTCAGAGCAGCAGGGAGAGCTGCCCCGAGCCTGCAGCAAGCGGACGGCGACGGAGGCAGCCCCGGACCTGTCGGCACAGCCGGCTGTTGTGTGACCAGTCGAGGCACTGCTGATACAGCTCATAGCAGATCACCGGCTCTGGCAGAGCCTCCAGGAAGATGAGGAGTGCTTCAGCCACAGAGTGGTTACTGCCCGCTGGACCAGTGGGAATCAAGGGGCACGCTGAGCAGATGGACCACCTCCCTCCCCAGCCTGCTCCCCGCCTCTCCTCCATCCCGGCTGCTTTGTCTTTGCTTCCTCCTTGCAGCTCTTGCAAGCGCTCTGCCTGCCGAACCGCTCCCTGACACCAAAGCCCTTCTCTTCCTCTCGTCCCCCACCCGTGGAAAATGCTGTTTCATCCACCCTGCACCGCGTTCGCCCACCCTTTAGCCCCGCAGAAGTCCTCTGCTCCATTAGCTCCTTCTCCAGATCGCGCTCCCCAGTGTCCACCCTCATCAGCTCTTGTGCTCAGCACAGCCTTGCAGAAGCTTCCAGAGCTCTGGCCCTGTGGCTGCTTTAGCCGGCACACGTTCAGCTTCAAGAGAGGTTCTCTCTTGGGGGACAGAGGGGAGCCAACCCCCCAGGAGGGACCCTGCCAGCTAAAGGTCACAGACAAGCTCTCCTGAGAGTCCGCTCTCCCAGCAGAGCTGAGATCCAGGAGGCTCCTAGGAAAGTCAGGTGCAGCAAGGATACGGATTGTCTCGGGGATACTGGTGTCCAGGCAGTCGATGATCTGTTCCAACTCTTCTTGCATGCCTGGAGTCTGGAACAGGTCCTCCTGCCAAAAACAGCACAGGGATGGACGAAGTCACCTTCCTCGCAAAGGCTGAGGCACACAGTGACAGCGGGGTGAAAGCTGCTGCACCCAGCCAGTGCCTCGAGCACAGGGGAACAGC